TTCAGCAGGGAAACTGCCTGCTAGCAAAGCAAGCCGACAGCAGAGTAGGTAAAGAAATGACTGCTGGGGTGCCTGTCCTTTTTGTTCATGGCAAAGTGATTGCACAAGGACAGTTCTTGCCTCTTTGGAATACAAACCAGATGCATAGAGTGGAACAACTTTGAATTACAGGAGACAAACTAATTACGGCCTCAAATTTTGTTACCTTTTCTGGATTTACTTTCAGTTCTTTTGCTATTGCAACAGATAGCGATGCAAAGGCTTCATTAATTTCAAACAGGTCAACTTGTTCCAGAGTCCAGCTGGCTTTGTCAGTCTGAGAGAACAAAATAGATAGAGGCTTTATTATCTTTTAGGCTTTCCTCAGCACCTCAGTTTTTTCATAAGACTTAAAATTGGTTTGAAGCCACCACTTCTGAAAGGTTGAAGGAAACAAATTTTTATAGCTAGGCTTGATGACAGAATTCTTGAAGACAACAGACAGAATTTCAGTGTCAGCAAAAGTTGGTACAATGTGTTGTAACATGCTGGCTGCTCTTAAAAAATCCTGACTAATTTTACACACGTAGTGGTGGTGCAATTGTGGGAATCAAACTGTATGTGGTGCTATTAACAAAACAAGCACTGTTTTTCAAAAGTATGTTTTCAGAGATTAAAAGCAAGTTTTTCAGGACATAAGACTGATTCCATTAGAGATTCTCTGCCCAGTACAGATTTTCACACAGGAAATAAAGAAGCGACCATTAGCAATGGCTGCCAAGTGTAATTTGCCCAGTTTCTCCTGCCTTTAAGTTGAAAGTTGCCACTTGAAGCTTTTCACAGGTGGGCTAATTGGGAAGATGGTTTGGTTCATGTTTTCACTTGAGACACTTGAGCAATTGCCTACTTCAGTACAGGCTTAGGCATGTTTTACATACTGATGGTTTTACTTCCACTCCTTGTTTCTAACAGCAATGCTTTATCTGCAGCAATGATGTTTCACAACCAGCTACCCAGGCTGGTGTATCTCCAAGACTCTAGTCAAGAAGGAGAGCCTCTTTCTACTAGTTATTATAGAGAAGTATGGAAGCCATTCACCTTCTGGGAAAAGTCTTATGTTTAAGATACCTGTTCTTGCAACACTAAAATGCATGGCCTAGTCATTCTCTCACTATAAAGTGCTACTATGAAGTTCTGGAGATAAACTGGTAATATATAGAGAGTGAAGTTTTTGGTAACACGCTACGAAGTTTGCGTTAAGAAGCGGTGTACTCTTTTTTAGAGTACCTATAAAATCACAGGTACTGTTAAATGCAGCTTATCTGCTCTACAATTTAAACTAAAAACGCGTGTTGTGTCTACAGCATTTGGTTTAAAAGAACAGTTTGTGATCTGATAAGAAAAAGCTTCAGCATTACAGTTCCTATTTTCCCGTTAAAAGCCAGAGAGCTTTGAGTGAGTTCAACTGAGGCTTCCGCACTGCCAGAACCTCTCAGAGATTAACAAAGTAAGGCCTTTACAGAGTGTGCATAAAACTAAGAGGGAATACTAAAGCAAATCTGTCCTTATGAGCTGTACAAGGGCTCTGTTCATGCTCAGTTTCATAGCAGTTTTAACAAATAACCAGCTGGGGTTGCTATGGGCTACATCTGTATTAGCAAACAGCGTGGTACCATCCGGGCTGCTCACTCAGGGCACCTTTAATAAGGTGAGATGAGAGAACCTTGTCCTGTGGACTGAACACAGAGCGCATCAGTGGGTGCAGTAATGGTTTGAGCACATTAGATGCTGGTGGTTCTGGAGTGCACCGTCTTGTTCAGTTTCATTTGAAAGGAATCCCAATTTGTATTCTCCAACCCCTTTGCAGGGCAACCCAAAGCACAAAGGGCACCATCACATTTGCTAACGCAGAAGCGCTCATTGGCCCTTCTCTGACTGTAGCACTATTGCACGTGCAGTCGGGCAGCAATCTGAAAATTAACCTGGCCAGACACAGCATCCATATCATGACAGGATCAAATCATCCCCAAATTAGGTTAGTATACACGTGTATCCATGAAATTTGATCTTTAGCTTCCTGCGTTATCTAGGTGGCTTTCACAAACTCAGCCAGGTTATACTCTGAACTCCATTCATACTTTTATTTTTTTCTCTCCCAGTAAAGAGGCACTAGCCTGGCAGCACTAGCAATCTTAATCTTATATACTCTCTGCTATTTTAAGTCTTGTTGTCACTTAGTTTATTTTTTCTACTAAATTTTCCTTAGAATATAGAAAAATCACGACATGGTCAGAAAATGAAAAGCAATGACAAGTGAGAATTTTTAATAGATACATAGATAGACAGATATTACTTACAGCTTTCTTTATCGCTGAAATGGGCCCTACTCCCATTATAGATGGATCGATACCTGTCTGAGCCCAAGATACAATCCGAGCCAAAGGCATCAGACCTCTCCTAGCAGCTTCCGATTTCTTCATTAGAATTACAGCTGCAGCTCCATCATTCAGACCTGTGGAATGACAAACAACTTGTATGTATTGGGTGAGTTTTATGGCTTTTACTGTACCACCCTTTCCTGCTTGCATAAGTTCACCATCTGGACTGTCCTGGTTTTGAGCTGGAACAGAGCTGGGTTTCTTTTTCAGTAGCTAGAATAGTGCTGCGTTTTGCTTTCAGCCTGGGACTTGTTATGAAAGAGACACTGATGACATGCCAGTGTGTTCATTTTTGGCACTGGAAGTGAAGGACTTTGTGTTCTGTTAGTCTACAAGTGCAAGGTCTAAGGGGTGGTGAAGAATATTTAAATTAATAAACTTAATTGACAGTTAGATATGCCAATGGGATATCATATCATGTCATGTCCAGTATATTAGTGAGGGTCTCTTCTAGAGAGAGAAGAAGCTCCTCTGGCTTTTCACTCGGGCTCTCACCCTTCCGGGATTGTGGTTTCGGTTCGGGATTGTCGCTCCTCCGGGATCGTTATCTGGGAACAGGCTGGGCTCAGTCAGGAGGGGGGTGAGCTATAGCACTGGGTGTCACTTATTTGCATATTTTGTTATAGTTATCATTACCACTGCTATTTTAATATTAGTATTATTTTAAGTTTTCTCTCTATTATTAAACTGTTCTTATCTCAACCTACAAGCCTCCTTATCCTTGCCCCCCCCCCCCAATCCTCTCCCCTATCCCCTGGGGGTGGGGGGGAAAGTGGGTGAACAGCTGTGTTGGCTGCCAGCCAAGGGCTAGCCCAGTGAAACTATCACATAGACAAAACCAAAAATCACAAACCTTTCACTGGTTTAGGTCAGTGTTTTTTTCAGATGAGCCAAGCCTAACCTCTGACACAAACACTTAAAACGGGTAATGAGTAACATAGCCATACTGCTGTAAATGTGACACATGTGTGATTTCTGTTTGGAAAGCAGCAGGTGGAAGAGTTGAATGATAGAATTGTTTTGGTTGGAAAAAACTTTTATGATCATCGAGTTGTTACAGTCTATCAAATGTGGCTGTTATTGTCCAAACACTTGTATTGCTTCACAGAAGGCAAGCAAACAAAAGACAACTCATCTGTAAAGAAATCCTCCACCGCAGTTATATTCGAGTTCTACCCATGTTGTCAAACACATTGCCATTTTCTGCAAAATATACTGAGCAGTAAGCACATGGCAGCCAGCCCCTCACAGAGACCCCACCTTGAGCCACAAGCAGCTACTCTTTTCCATTTTGGTTTTAGCCAGATGGACCAACCTGAAGCATTAGCTGCTGTTACTGTCCCAGTTCCGTCTGTCAGGAAACAGGGCTTTAACTTTGACATTGTTTCCAAGCTGCTCCCATGTCGAGGGTGTTCATCTGTTTTAACTTCTATAGAACCTGCAAAACAGAGTGTTTTACTCACAGAAGGGTCTCATCACTCACACACATACACGTCTTGAACAGAAAGCTGGCACAAATAACAGGCTGATGAGCAATATGTGCCATATTCCTTTTAACCAACAAGCCATTATGATGTTGGAGATGGCTTCCAACTCAGTCAACTACTCTCATCCTCCAGCTGCTTCTAGCTGGACAGACAGCTAGGTTTTCCGAGACAACCTCTGACAACTAAAATACTGTCTAGCTGTACAAAAGCAGATCTTGTTCTTGCTGTTCCTAAGCCAATATCTTCTCTTCCAAGTAGAAAGCTATCTTCCAAATGATACTTGTAGGAACCGCGTTGCAAAGAGTAGTGAAGTGTCATTAAATATTATTATCTAAACTGGTATCTGGAAAGCCCTTCATTAGTTTGTAACCAGCCCAATACCAGAACTTTTCCCACAAGGTCTATTCAATGCAAATGTTGAACAACCGATTCTTGATTTCTGTTTGGAAAATTCAGTTTTTGCATCCACCTCAGAAGGAGCTGTGGGAATTCCCCTGCTCTAGAAACAGACCTTTGGCTCAAGCACCATAATACGTCTGTTTATATCCCTAATAGACCTAAAGAAAAGCATACTTAATATATGTAACCTGACCTAGTTAATTAACTAGTAGCCCTAGTTACTGTCACTGTGTATTTTACTAGGTGGGCAAGGCGTGCCAGATCAACATGACTGTTTTTAGTTTGGGCAGGAGTCATCTAACAAAACAAAAAATACTGATTTTGGTACCATATCTGAGCCTATGTTAAGTCAGTGGTTTGCCTGGGTAGTAAGTATGTCCCAAATAAACCAGACAGTAGAAGTATTCACAGAGAGTTACATTTAGATATTCCACATTTGCATCTGGGCAGGAACAACCCCA